ATCTCTCCCTTGACCTTGTTATATGCAGAGGGACTGTCTGTGTTACACCGTTCTTATCAAGTGCATGATTTCCATCACAGCGTGGGGTGGGGGTGGGGGTGGTTTCGCCATCTTCTTCATCTTCCAACATTGACGGCGGAAGTGTCTGTGTGTTGAATGAAGTGGTGCCCCCCTCTCTCTTTTCAAACATCTCATTCTCTCCGGTGTTATCAGATGAGGGGGTGTTTGTCATCACGATCTTATCAACTTGGTACAGCCGAGGTGCAGGATGTGCTGGTAGTGGGGTCTCTGCCATGTGGCAGGGGCGAGGGGGCACCTATTTTGTATAGCTGCTCTGAGGTGGTTGATTTCCCCGCTGTTCTCTTTTTTCTTTATTATTCTTTTTTATTCTTTTTTTTGACAAAGCCCAGGTTGTTGTAGAGGTGGGATACTAGACGGATGGCAGTCACCCAGAGTACTCGGCCACTTGGTTGTCCAGATGAACCCCTCTGAAGACCCCACCCACCCTTCCTCTCATCTTTTGCCCTGGCGCACCCCCACCTCCCCTGTCCGACCCTAGTGTTAACCACCCAGAACCATCACCCATTGCCATCTTGGCGGGGTGATCTGACCAGACAGTGGTTGCAGGTACCGGGGCTAAGCAGAGGCGCCTACCCCCTGCTCAGCCCCAGTTGAAGCAGACGCCGTGCAAGCCTGATTGCATGGGGACTTCGGGAGCTAGGTTTGAACATGCTACTACAGGTCTTCATGAGGGTGCACAGTGACTCCCATCTAGCTTAGTTGTGTGGTGATCATAGAGAGCTGGGTATCCTCCATTCCCTCGTATGTCCCTGGAGCCCGTTCCAGCCATCACACCCCCGACATCCCGTACTAAGGAACTGCTATGCCAGCCTCAACCCTATGCTACGTACTAGGAGGATAGCCAACCCTAGGTCATGAGTTATGGACTGAGTTTCTTTATCCTTATGTTGTCTTTTTACTACAGTGTACTATGGTGTTGATGGTAGAGAGATGGGGATCCTCCGTTCCCTCGTATATCCCTGGAGCCCGTTCCGAACCCGCGGTAAGGTGCAGTATCAACTGTTCCTGAGCAACATAACCTGGGGTTCTTGGCTCATATCTTACCAGAGTGAGTCTATTTGTTGTAGGGTGAGAGGTTAATCCTTCCTGATTATCATGTCCAGTTGATGTGGCTCAGTGGTTAGAGCACCGGTTGGAAATGCGCATTGCGGTATGAGGTTGCGGGTTCAAAACTCAATTGCAACCTTGCGCATGGACACCGGCAGGGCGTTAGATTGACGCACGACTGGACATACACTTCCGTGGGCTGACGCATGGTACTATTACAGACACTGCCTGCGCACCAGCCAACAAGGGTTGTTCATGGTGTTGTATGTTGGTTCTAGGTTTCACATGGGTTGCTTGGGGGTGTCGGTCTTGGGTGTTCTGCTGTTGATCTCCCCAGTCTGGTATATCACACGTTTGTGCCATTTCCACTAGTCGTTCACATGGTAGAGTCATACGATTACATGTTTCAAGGTCACGGGTTCGAGCTTCAGGCTGGCAGTTTTTTTTTTCAAGCTTATTTTCATAGTCCTGGGCAGTCAATCCCCTGTAGCTCAGGGTAATCAATGCTGGCAGGGATCCATGATAATGTGTGACGCCCAACCTCACGCCCAGCACGACTTCCTGATTGGAGTAGATTGTGGGCCTGGAAGTGCGAAAAGGGGTGTGCCAAGGATTTTTGGGAAAGTGGGGCTGGAGTCCCAGGTCAGAACTGAGATCTCCTGGCAGAGTTTTTTGGGGGCATGGGTGTAATTTGGCAGGGAGGGCTGACCATTTCCGGTCATAAGGCAGATGGCATGCGCGGGTCTTTTATGGCCGTTCGATCCATCTGTGTAGGGGACGGCGGTTCATCGGAAGGTCCCTTCGGGGTGGGTGTGATCCCGATGAGTCCGGTCGTCGGTTGTTGCCACGTGGCGCCGGTCGTCGTACGTTCTAGTTGGGCCCTTGCGGTCCCGAGGCCCTCTGGTTGCCGCGTTGTCGGCAATTTCCGCAGGGCGTGCTGGGCCAGTAGGGGGCTATGGCTTTCCACGGGATGACCCTGAGTTGATGATACAGGAGGGGAAGACGGAAGGGAGGGAAGTTAGTGGAGATAACGACAAAGCCAGGGGAAATAAAGTAGTGAGTGTGGTGCGCTGTGGGGAAATCAGAGCACCGGGGGTCGCTGGTGGTGGCGCAATGAAACTCCCTAGGACACAGTCGATTTTCTGTTAGGCAGCGAAATCTCTGTCGAAGGCTTTCTTCTATCCAAGGGGTGAAGTATTCCGGGTCGTACAATGACTCTGAGCTCTCGGAGCGTGTCATTATGTCATCGCAGAACTGCGAGATGCCTAAGGGCGGGTCTGTGCCGATGGCGATCACCGCGTGTGAGCACGTGCAGGCCGCGTGAATCGAGTCACGCTTACACGTGTTCACGCGAGATGATTGCTTCGTTGCTGACGTGGAATGACCACATCCAATCAATCGTTGACCTCGTTACGTGTGGTTTGGTCGTGAATCGATACGCGGGGACACATGTAAGAGCGCAGAGCAGATCGTACTTACGCGCGTCCCTACAAGGCGTTCGCTGGTTTCTGGGCAGACAGCTACCCGATTATCTAATCATTCCCTAATTTTCGAGCATGCAAGATGCAACAACCCCAATCAGCTCAATCGAAAGATAAACAAAAACGGTATTGACGACTACACAAAACTCCTATCCTACTCATGAGCGCATCAAGATAGTAAACAAGGGCAAGGATCATGCAGAAGGACAAACAATCAGACATGATATCCATTCATTCAGCATAAACACACACGACATCCGAAATTGAAATCGCAAGGACGAGTGTGGACAAAGGAAAACCAAGCCGAGATTCCGAAAACCAAAAACGGGCAAATCGCCCTGATCCGAAATCAAAATTTATATACACCAGCAGAGAGGGCGAAAAAGACAACAGAAACAACAAATCCGCGTCCATCAACCTCAACTCCCTCTTCCTTTCTCTCTCTCTCTCCGATGCGGACATTCCGTCGTCACGCACCAACCCACGAAGTCGTCACCCCGCTTAGTCCTCCCGCGCCCGTCAGGTTCTCCCGCGCCCACAGTCCGTCGTGGCCCACGTCAACCCCGCGCGTTTGGCACCAGCTCGTCGGGTCGCCTGACTCCCACTTCAACTCACCTCTTACTTCGCTCGTGAGCCGACCCTCATTAATAGCGCTACCCCGAGCTTCCAACAACTGGTTAAGAGAGCTAACTAATCGCGCAGCCGGAATTTATAGCGTGCATGCATGCGCGAGGAACACGGAATTACAAGGACTTAGGAAGAAGATTAGAAAGGGAGCGCCTGCGTTTTGCATGACCGGGCCGCGGCGTGGGGGACTTTGCCTCTCTCCATGCATCAATCCGATCATGCAACCCTTGGGCGGGCTAGACATCACAAGAAGAAGCGAAGGCGGGAAAGACGGAGCACAAGAAGAAAGATACAGTTACAATGGCGCCCGCTCAAAGTTACAGTTACACCCACGATTAAAGGCGCCGACTATTCAGCGTTCCATTGCAGCCGCGCGAAGAAGCACGTAAGCGAAAAGCGCCGCGCGGCCAAGAAAAATCCTAATTGCAAAATTCCTAAATTCCTAACTTATGCGGAAAAGCAAAGGGCACAATCATCGAAAAGGAAGTGCGAAATTCCGAGAGCCATCGGGGCTCGACAAGATTTGAAAAAGAATTCAAAAAGAAAATTCAAAAAGAACGAAGCAAAATTCCCGCGCGATGTCCGTGCCTAAAAGGTCCAAGACCGAAACGAAAGAGATGACGTCAACATTTATTAGTCGCGTGCATGACAGCGCGCCCGCCGTTCAATCGACCAACCAACCGATCGTCCGAGGACACGCCCAGTTCCGACCCCAACCATCGAAAAAGGAGTCGACGAAAAAGACGAAGAAGCGAGGTCACTGATGCAATTTCCCCTCCATCCCAATCTCCTGTAATTGGCCCATCCCTCCCAGCTTACGACCCCTCGTTGTCATCGCGTAGAAAATCGCGCGGTGCAGAAATCGGTTTGTCACATATGTGACGCCCAGGGGGTTCCAATATTAGCAAACTCCTGCTTGCTTGTTGACACGTGTCGATCTCTCTAATCCGAATCGATCGATACGTGGAGTTTTTCCTTTTGTGCCACTTACTGTTCAAATGAGTGTGGACGTCGTCCAGTGTGGCAAACACAGCTCTTAACTACTAATTCCTCATGAAGGACCATTGGCAATCCAACCAGGGGATCACACGCGTCATCGCAACGATATGCGCACCAATCAACCGATCACCAGTGTCCAGTGGGGAGAGGGAAGGGAAGACGGTACATGGGGGCATGGCGAGTGGGAGGGTTAATCGGGAGAGGGGGCAGGAAGCTATCCAACCTTGCCACCGTTTCTGGAAGTTCTTGGTATCGAACGATCCGGTGGAAACGGGGGAAGCGATTACCACTATGGGGGAGGGAAGCGAGATAGTCCGGATACAGGGTGGTTAAGGTGCGGAATAGGGCCGCACGGAAATGGTCGTAGTTTTCGCATGCGGGGATAGTCCCCGTAATCATGCAGTAAACTTCGACCATATTGTGACCTCGCCATGCGGCGCTCAGGAGAAGGATATGGAGGTAGAAGTCGGGGAGGGCGCATCGGGTCGAGGGGTGGGGATGGATTGTGACAATAAGACGGGTGGCATAGAAGAAGCGAAAGGTGTTGAAAGGGAAGGGGTTGTGGGGAAGACAACGCGGGTAGTGGCCTGGCGGAAGGTGAGATGGTCAAGGGGACGGCGGGATAACGACCAGGGACGAAGCCCAATGCCCCGCATCAGTACGGACTCAAACTGGTGGACGGTCGATGGAGGAGGGGGAAGGGGATCGGCTCCGTCGTCGCCTTGCCGGTGCGGCCGAAGTCTCGGCAGCTGGGTCCCCATCCTTGGGCTTGGGCGGCTCTGGATCTCGGGCCGGATCGTCGGTGAGCTGCTGATTGGCTTCGCTGGCGAATTCCAGCTATCGCTTTCCGGCCGCGATCTCTTCTCTCTTGCGTGCCGCGTCGGGGTCTTCCGCCTGCGCGCCCGCTTGTTCTCCTTCTTCCGGTGTGTCCTCCCACTCCGATTCCTCCGACCCTAGCTCTTCCTCTTCATCGTCTTGTTCTTCTTCTTCCTCCTCACTTTGTTCCCCTTCACTGTGCTCGTTGTAACTCCCCTCTTCGGGAGTTTCTTCCTCGTCGTCTCCCTCCTCTTCTTCTTCTTCTTCTTCGGCTGCTTCTTCTTCTGCCGCTATCGCCTCGTCCTCGGTGGTCGTTCGATCCCGGAAGTAGGCGCGATCGATGATCTCTCCGGGGCTCAGATAATCCCGCTGCGATGGCGGGTTGCGGTCATTTCCCGGCTCCTCTAGGCACGCTGACCACTGAAGATACGGCGCCAGGGTCCGCGTGAGAATGTGCGGGACCGGGCTCTCGTCACTTTGCGAGACGATCTCCAAGGGAAGATCGTCGACTAGATGCGCGAGTGGGACCGTAAGCTCCAAGACGATCGGTTGGCGGTGACTGGGCCGCACCGATCCGAACAGGAATCCGAGAAGTCGCCCTCCACGTTCGTTCTCCAGGACTGGATAATCAGCCACTCCAAATACTCGCTCCACTCGCGATGGTCTTCGTCCCTTGTCCACGTGATTCGTACCCCGACCAGGCACACCGAAAGGTCGACGAAGTGCTCGTGCCAAAGTCTTCATTGCCCGGGATCGAGAAGGGGGACTGCGAGCGGCTCTAGGCAAAAGGAGGGACGAGGGTGGAGACTAAATTGCCAGAAGGTGGGAAAGAGAGATGGGAGGGCAAAAGTGGAGAGTTGGGAGTGGTTCATCGGGGAGGCTGGAAGGGAATAAGCTCTGGCAGCACCACCGCTGGCTCGTGCTGGAATGCTCGGATCCCTTCGAGCTCGACGCCGTCCGTGGGGAAAAGATTATCCCCTCTGCGCGTAAGAGAACGGTTCCACTCCACGGCCAGTTGCTGCGCCCACTTCCTTAGTGACGTCCGGATAGCTGTATGCCGGAGCGCATGCTGATGTCGCCGCTGAAGTCGAGGACCGTGGACACGTGGCTAATCCCCGGAGCTGATCATCGATGGACAGCCACCGTTTCTGCCAGTACCACCGCCTGTGGACTGCCCGCGAATCGGAACTCAGCCGCTGCGTACACTCCCGAAGTGCAGAAGAACTACGCCCGTCGTAGAAGATCCTGGTTGAGTCGTGGATGACACACCTGCCGAATCGCTGAGATGTAACCCCGTGGCGTTAAGAGATGGTCGTCGAGGGCTTGCTCCGTGAGAAAGCTCATGGCGATGGTGGCAGGGACGGGGTGTCTGAGAAGGAACGAGATGAAGAAGGATAGGCAGGTGATAAGCAGTCGTCGTCCTCTCCTTCAGCGGAGGAGGAGTCGGATGAAGGCGAAGATGGGGAAGAAGGAAGGGGACGTAGATAGGACACGTGGCGGATGATCGGTCGAGCCGATCGGCTGCCGGAGACCTCAAGTGCAAGCCGCACGGTGTTCACGCCGTTCGGTCCGAGCTCAATCAGGCGGAATCGCCGGAAGAATCATGGCGCTAGCTTACCCTGACGAGCACATTTCCTCACCTGCACGATATCCCCCAATTTGTACTGGGGCCGTGGACTTGCGTTCCCGTTCCGGGCCTCGTAGCTTCAAACCTGTCGGCCGTGGGCCAACTCGGTCATTTTCTAGCGTTTTCGGGCTAGCCTGTGGAGGGACTGTTCCATTAGCTCTTAGTGCCGCTTGGCCTTGTCCCGAACCGTGGCCCTTGTGGGCCGTCGGTTCAGTGTTGACTCATCGGGAAGGCTCGGTATCGAAACGCAAGGGACGCTATTGATCCTTAATTGGAAGGGGCTCAGGCCCGTCGATTCGTGGGGCGTTCCGCGATATACCGCCAAGATGTGGTCGACGATATCTGTCTAAGGCCTCGGATCCCGTGTTGCGATGTTTCGTCGCAGCGCTGTCTTTATCACCCTATTTGCGTTTTCTACTAGCCCGTTGGATTGTGACATATGGGGCGCGGTATTCCGCACAGCGACCCCGTGTATGACCAGATTCTTCAACACTTCTCCCCTAAATTCCGCCCCGTTATCGGTCAGGATTTTTTTTGTGTCCTGGTGCATCCCGAGAAAACGGTTAACATACCTCGCAATTTCGGCGGCTTGCCGCGTGTGACATGGGTAGACCTCGATCCATTTCGAAAAATGGTCGACAAACACCAACAGGATTGAATACTCACAACTATTAGGACCAGGGGGTACCACAATATCGGTAGTATCCATGCTTACCCTTTGAAAAGGCCGTTCAACTATCGTCAGTACTATCGATCTTGGCGGCTGGATCGGCGCCTTGTCAGCAGCACAGACTTGGCAGTTCGCGACGATGAATTTCACATCGTCCCGAATATTGGACCAGTACCATTCATTTTTGTCGATTGCTGACTCTGTAATCCGTACGGCAAAATGGGCTGCCGTTTCCTCGTGTGTTGTCTTCACCCAGTCATACCTCATGAACGGGTGCGGTACAACCATCCAAATCCCACTACCGTCCGTTTTCCGTTTTTCTAACCTACCCTCAACCCATCGATAATCCCGAGCCCTTTCATTAGCCCTCCTCCGATCTTCCTTGGTGAAATCCTGGAGGGGGTTACCCACTAAGGTAGCAATCAGAGCGATATCGGTTCATACTTCAACCCCTCTAAACTTTCGGGTCTTCTCCAGCCCTTCTGACGTGGCATCCAAAAAGCGAGCCTCGGTCGGGATCTTGTCGACCCGACACAAGGGGCACAACCACGGCTTGTTGTCATCTCTGTACTGGATGCACGAGCCATAGGCTCGAGCGACACACTGCCGACAATCTACCCATTCCACATAGCCTTCCCCGTTAGGACGCATGGAGACAGAATAAACGCGAGAAATCGCTTCGCGAAAATAACAAAATTTATCAGGCACAGAAAGAAGAGATGAGGAGGAGAGAGGAGAAAGAGGGGTTACGGGGTTACCTCCGTCACCCATTGCCACCGGTCTGCTTCTTGCCACGTGGGAGAACTGCCACTTGTCTGGACTTAGGCCCGTTCGTCGACTCCGGTTCTTTCCACGGAATGATTCCCTCGCCCTTAGGAACTTTAGCGGTTCAGGGTAGACGTGTCAGTCCGTCCGCGTTGCCGTGTCTCTTTGTCTTTCGATGGATGATGTCGAAGTCGTATTCCTGTAGTCGCACCGCCCATCGTCCAATCATGCCCGTGTAATTAGTGAGTTTCTTCAAAGCCAGCAGGGGCTCATGATCTGTCACGACGCCGAACTTCTGCCCGTAGAGGTACGGATGAAAGTGTTGGATTCCCCAGACTACTGCATAGCATTCGCCTTGACGTGTTGAATCATTCCTCCGTTCGTCCGACACTATTCGTGACGCGTACTCGATGACGTGTTCGCGACCATCGTTCCCCTTCTGCGCTAGAATGGCGGAGATCGCTTCTGGTTGTCAGTCCATTATAAGAATGAATTGCTTGGTAGGGTCCGGCCGGATCAAAACTGGTGCAGTGGCTAGGGCCTCCTTGAGTGCATCAAAGGTTTGTCCGCACTCAGAGTCCCACTATAGAGGTTGGTCCTTTTGAAGCAGGTTCGTGAGAGGCCGAGCAATCGCCGCAAAACCCTTGATAAAACGACAGTAGTACGATGCCAGGCCTAAGAAGGCTCGAACCTGCGTCAGTGACGTGGGAACTGGGGCTTCTTTTATGGCCGCAACTTTCCTGGAGTCCGTTCGCAGCCCTCCACGTGTCACTACGTACCCCAAGAACGAAATTTCCGAGAGGAAAAATTCGTCTTCTCGGGTGCAATCTTGAATCCAGCGTCTCTCAGTGCTCTCAACGTCCACTCGATGTGTTGCGCGTGCCCGTGATAGGTCTCCGAGTAGACAAGGATATCATCCATATATACGATCACGCAGAAGTTGATCATTCCCAGAGTCAGTCGTGTCTAGTTGACGAAGTTCTGGAACGTCACGTTCATTGCTCGTTGAAACGTGGCAGGTGCGTTACAAATTCTCATCGGACATCGAACCCACTGCCACGTGTCGTCGAACAATACGAAGGCCGTCTTTGGTCGATCTTCCTCCTTAACCAGGATGTTATGAAAGCCATGCCGCATATCAAACTTACTGAAATAATTAGCACATCGAATCGCATCCAACAAATCATCAATCCGGGGGAGGGGATACACATCTTTAATCATAATCTCATTCGGTTTGCGATAATTGATGCATATGCGGATTGATCCGTTCTTCTTCGGTACTAACACTACTGGAAATTACCATGGTCCAGTGGCAGGTTCGATCCAATCGCTTGCTTCGAATTCTCGAATTCGTTCGAGAGCCTTTTTCTGTTCTATCAGGGAATATCGGTAAGGCCTGCAGTGAATTGGGGAATGATTCCCCGTCTGAATTTCGTGCTGAATGACCAACGATAAGCCGATGTCAGTGTCCGTTACACTAATCACTCCCTGATATTCCGTCAGGATGTCCGCAATCAAATGATGAATCTCATCAGGTACGTACTGTGGAACGTGTAATTCGAAAAGCTGATCCCAGATTCATACGTCGATCTGCTTCGTGTTGGGCAACAACCTTTTATACAACAACAGGTGTTGCAGGGGAAGCGAGAACACGTGCAACAGCTCATGCTGCTCCATCCCCATCAACAACAACAACAACAACTCATGATACACGCTCAACAATTGCACCAACCACAACAATATATTCTCGGGGGTGACTATGCCGAGCAGTTCCACCTCTTGCTGCGTGCCCAGCTGGCACAGTACCACCATCAGCAACAACAGCACAGGATGATGCAGCAGCAACAAATCCTACAACAAATCCATTTGGAATGGCAGCAGCAACTGTGCTGTCAACAACAACAAGTGTTGTATCAGCAGCAGGACCAACTTCGTGTCTTCTGGCAACAAGAGGTGGCCAGACACAACTCGCACGCGTAGCAGAGGCTGATCCAGATAGGACTCCCGTCCACCCCCCCCCCCCACGTACTTGAGGAGGGGCAGGAGCCCCAGGGCATGGACACATCCGCCCCAGAGGAGGCCCCACATACTCAGTGCGAGAACCAACAACCTGCCACGGATGACATGGATGTCGATGTCATCCTGCCCCCACCACCACCACCGGAAGGAGAAGACTGCCCCCACCACCACTTTCTGCAAATGACGAGGTCAAACAAAAACTCGGATTTGTTACAGAATGGACCCTCGTGAAGATCTTCTCCCTCACGGATGACCGGCCTGCTGAGAGATTAGGGACCAAACATTGGAAGAAGGCCAAGTTGGTACTAATGTACAGCCTCCGGGTATTAGCCACAGTTGAAAAATACAAGGATATTTCCTCAATAGACTGGATGGATGTTGGGGCTACCATTGTTCTAGTGGTGAACAAGTTCCTGGATAAAATTGAAAAGTATACGGGGATGCAGAGAGGGGGCGACGACTCCAGGAATGGCCAAAATCGCATGGGAACCGAACCTGAGGTATTCGTACATGAGGGTCTGGCTTGGCCCAAAGTGTTGATCCAGGAACTGTGTGATACACTGTATCCCCTCTCACAGGAAGCAAATCAGCATCTGCAAGAGGGGCAACGCTCACTGAGCACCAGGGACATGATTTCGCTTGCCCACCCCGATGTGCCGCAACAACAGTTCCAACCAGCCCCAGAGCTATAACTCTCACACGTGGAAAATGCGCAGCACCAACCACCTACCGGTGGAACTAACAACCAAAGTCGTGCGATAGTGTTGCACAATCCCCCCCACCATCAGAACCAACAAATCCCAATCGTCCTGCACGATGACGAAGACAACGCACAAC